GGAGTGTGGAAATTAGGAGAAGGTGTGGAGTTAATAAAAGTATTAGTCAGAGGGCAGAGGAGGGGTTGTTGAGGTGGTTTGGTCATTTAGAGAGAATGGATCAAAGTAGAATGACATGGAAAGCATATAAATCTATAGGGAAAGGAAGGCGGGGTAGGGGTCGTCCTCGAAAGGGTTGGAGAGAGGGGGTAAAGGAGGTTTTGTGGGTAAGGGGCTTGGACTTCCAGCAAGCGTGCGTGAGCGTGTTAGATAGGAGTGAATGGAGACGAATGGTACTTGGGACCTGACGATCTGTTGGAGTGTGAGAGGGTAATATTTAGTGAAGGGATTCAGGGAAACCGGTTATTTTCATATAGTTGGACTTGAGTCCTGGAAATGGCAAGTACAATGCCTGCACTTTAAAGGAGGGGTTTGGGATATTGGCAGTTTGGAGGGATATGTTGTGTATCTTTATATGTGTATGCTTCTAGACTGTTGTATTCTGAGCACCTCTGCAAAAACAGTGATAATGTGCGAGTGTGGTGAAAGTGTTGAATGATGATGAAAGTATTTTCTTTTTGGGGATTTTCTTTCTTTTTTGGGTCACCCTGCCTCGGTGGGAGACGGCCGACTTGTTGAAAAAAAAAAAAAAAAAAAAAAGAACTAGAAAGAAAATAGCAGAAAACCCAGAGGGGTGTGTGTATATATATGCTTGTACATGTATGTGTAGTGTGACCTAAGTGTAAGTAGAAGTAGCAAGACGTACCTGAAATCTTGCATGTTCATGAGACAGACAAAAGACACCAGCAATCCTACCATCATGTAAAACAATTACAGGCTTTCGTTTTACACTCACTTGGCAGGACGGTAGTACATCCCTGGGCGGTTGCTGTCTACCAACCTACTACCTAGAATTTTTCGTTGTTAAGTGGTTGTATTTGCAAGCCTGGAATGGCTTGCCCCTATAACAAACAAAGGCTATAACAAATGAGGTTCTAGAACCAATTAGATTTGTTACATGATTCCCCACTAATAATTACTAATTTATATTTAAATAATTTTAGGATTCCTTTTACTGAATTCTGTTTTGTGGTTGTTGAATTGAGTACTGTTAAACTCTGGACATGGAAAGGGTTTTAAATGAACCGTGCGCATAACCAATTTGCAGGACATGAACTCTGAGGTGGAACCACAAACTGTAGTTGTTGTGAGATGCTATTGTGAAATCTGCAATGGTTTCATCTAAATCCTGATGGGTGCAAGTCCATAAGGTTGCTAATCAATGGGTTTCGCCAAGTTGCAATACTGGATGCATGTGCATCTGGTGAGACATCTACTCGGTGGACTATCATCAGACTGTGCCTATTTCTCATAACAATCATCCATTGTGCCTGCCACTTACCCACCTGAGCATAGTCTTCCATACTCTAATTAATTATAACAAAAAAATTTTTTAAACAACTAATTATAATTTCACATTCACTTCCTCTGTTCTTAATTTTACTTTTTTTCACATGTTTGGGTGCTTGAGACTCAACTCTTGGCAGGGGAAATGTCTTATAAACCCGTGTCACAAGTCTGCAGTTAAGGACTGCCTTAATGGTGAAGCACAAGCTGTAAACGGCTGATGATGTTGAGATCTCCCCAAGGGTTGTTTCTTTCTGTCTCTGATTCAAATACCTAAGTTATGCTATAAACTGATAGTTAAACGTAAGTATGTTTTAGTAACTATTGTTATGAATTTACAGTAATACTGCTTAGTACTTCTAGTGAACTAGTTTGTAAATATTGTTGGTAATTTACCAGAATGACTTGTTACTTTAGCTACAACTCCTGTAATCTCCAGTAGCAATTGTCTGATGGCTTCAATTTTTTAAATGGCTAGCATTTACATTAAACTTAAAGCATAGTCTGGAAGGTTGTCCTTGCTTCGACAATTATCAGACACTTTGTTTATCTTTGCTTTACAGTTATCAGACACTTTGTTCTTGCTTCTGCAGTTATCAGATACTTTGTTTGTCCTTGCTTCTTCAGTTATCAGACACTTTGTCCTTGCTTCTAAAGTTATCAGATATTCTGTTTGTCCTTGCTTCTACAATTATCAGATTCTCTGTTTGTTCTTGCTTCCACAGTTATCAGACACTTTGTTTTTAACATCATATTCTTCACATACTGTGCCACTAAGATGCCAGGTTCAACTTTCTTTATTAGTTCAAGTTTCTGCTTAACAAAGAGAACCACATATTTCCTCTTGGCACCACCACTTGCTTTAGAAGCCACTGTTAATTGCACTTTACTTATTCTGTTAATAAAGTCATGCATAACACTGTAAATCTGGGGAGAAATTGGAGAATGAATGACGAGCTCATGTGTGAGTGAGCACAGACAACAAACTGGTAGTGGAGGTGTGCCTATGGTTTGAGGAACATTGAAAACACACAGTTCATGGATGTGGATGCTCTAACCCATATTGGACAACACTGGAATCTTTGGAATTGATCCAGTGATTCAGAAGACAACTGGACACTATCAGTACAGACAGAATTTGGAATTATGGACTTTTTTCCATTTAGTCCAATGATTTCAACAGTTTGGCAGTTTGGAGGGATATGTTGTGTGTCTTTATATGTGTATGCTTCTGGACTGTTGTATTCTGAGCACCTCTGCAAAAACAGTGATAATGTGCGAGTGTGGTGAAAGTGTTGAATTATGATGAAAGTATTTTCTTTTTGGGGATTTTCTTTCTTTTTTTTTTTTGGGTCACCCTGCCTCGGTGGGAAACGGCCGACTTGTTGAAAAAAAAAAAAAAAAAAAAAAATCAACATTTTTGTGACCAATTTTTTTTGTCTGTAATTTCTGAAAATCATTGAACAGGGGGCCCATTAATTAGGGGTTTTACTGTACTACTGCTGTATTTATATAGTATTACAAGTGAACTATACTGTTTTTTAACAAGTCCACTGAGGCAGGGTGACCCAAAAAGAAAATCCTCAAAAAGAAAATACTTTCATCATCATTCAGCACTTTCACCTCGCTCATACATAATCACTGTTTTTACAGAGGTGCTCAGAATACAACAGTTTAGAAGCATGGAAATATAAACACATATGCAGTTTAATGTGATCCTTTATTGACAATGTTTCGCCCACACAGTGGGCTTTTTCAAGTCACAAACAGATCTACCTGGGGTGGAAGGTACGTGAGTATTTATAGTCAGGTTCAGAATGTTGAGGTCAGGTGGAGAATGCTGCATCTGATGATCTACCGAATGGGGTTATAGTCTATAACCCCAATCGGTAGATCTACCAAATGGGGTTATGGTCTATAACCCCACTTGGTAGATCATCAGATGCAGCATTCTCCACCTGACCTCAACATTCTGAACCTGACTATAAATACTCACGTACCTTCCATCCCAGGTAGATCTGTTTGTGACTTGAAAAAGCCCACTGTGTGGGCGAAAACGTTGTCAATAAAGGATCACATTAAATTGCATATGTGTTTATATTTCCATTGTGTCGGTATTTTATACCATTTATTCCAGTTTAGAAGCATATACATATAAAGATACACAACATATCTCTCTAAACTGCCAATATCCCAAACCCCTCCTTTAAAGTGCAGGCATTGTACTTCCCATTTCCAGGGCTCAAGTTCTGCTATATAAAAATACCAGTCTCCCTGAATCCCTTCAATAAATATTACCCTGTTCACACTCCAACAGCTCGTCAGGCCCCAAATACCATTCGTCTCCATTCTGTCTAACACGCTCACGCACGCTTTCTGGAAGTCCAAGCCCCTCGCCCACAAAACCTCCTTTACCCCCTCCCTCCAGCCTTTTCGAGGATGACCCCTACCCCGCCTTCCTTCCCCTACAGATTTATACGCTCTCCATGTAATTCTACTTTGATCCATTCTCTCTAAATGACCAAACCACCTCAACAACCCCTCTTCAGCCTTCTGACTAATACTTTTATTAACTCCACACCTTCTCCTAATTTCTCCTAATTTAATTAACTGTACTGTTATACTATTATTATTGCATGTAGTTAAAGTATGGCATAGCCCACAAGTGGTGTAAAAAGATATAGCAAAAGGAAATCTTTATTTATACAACATTTATCGTACAAGAAGCTCATGTAGGTAAAACACCATTTTAGTAAAGATCTCCTTTCACTATGTATCTTTTTAACCCTTATTACTACATACTAACATACTATTATCTCTTCTCTTGTACTACTTCCCTCTGATGGTACACACTTTTTGTTTTTAATGGCAGTGGGAATTATGGTGTTCATTGATGCTTTAGCCACACTGGCTGGGGCTTCCTATACCAGGTTGGGTACAGTCTGCTGGTAATATACCTCTCCTTCACAGTATACTGGTGGGTTAAGCACAGGTTCACTCTTATTTTTGATGCCTAAACTTGCAATTCAGGTGTTTCTGGTTTGTAATCCACGAAGTGTTCTGCTAAGTCCCTCGAATTGGGAGTTTGGGTAGCATGAGCAAGGCTTGGTGCTTAGTGTGCTGGCAGAATGCAGGTGATGCCATGTATTTAGGTAGAATCAAGCAGATATCACTGAGTGCACACTCTTTGCACCTGTGGTTACTACCAGGATTTCTGATTGTTACTTGTACCCATGGGACCAGTAAGTATGTATACTTAGTGCCTTCTCTTGCTGGACTCTGTGATGAGTCGAGAAATGTAAATAAGATTGTTATATTTGTGTTACTTTTTTCCCTAGACTCATCCAGGCAGGTAACAGCAATCTAATTTGTATACAGATTCAAAATTAACCCAAGAGATGAAACTTTTGACAGTATTACAGTCAATTGTAGACCATTATCAAGTCACATATTGTAGGCAACATATATCCTACAGGCATGAATATCCATGTCTCGTGATCATCTTTTTTTGTCTTAACCATTGATCTGCTCATTCTCTGAAAAGAAAGGCTCATTTTATTGTCCAGGGCTTTAAAAAACATTTCTTCTCATTACATAATATTTTTTCCTTTCAGAATTGTAAAGGTGTAATACTAAATATTCCAATGCCAGGACACACTGTCAGTGAGAGCCTTGAGCAACAAGTGAGAAGTGATGTGTCAGTTCTTGAGCAACTTGTGGATGACCATGACGTTGTCTTTCTCTTAATGGATTCCCGTGAGAGTAGATGGCTGCCTACAGTACTGGGAGCTGCCAAGCATAAAGTAACACATTTTTCTTTGTATTAGTGCATCATCTTAATAACTTTTAAATCAAAATTTGTATGTATTGTCTTGAGCCATGACATTTTTATATACAGTACAGTCATCCCTATAAATTTTTGAGGGGTTACATTCCTAGAGGTCCTGTAAAACTAGAAACCAGAATTAAACCTTCATAAATGTTTTTTTAAAACTTGAGTTCATTTTGTGTTTAGAGACTATATCTCTGTAAATATCAAATTTATAATAAAATATATAAATATAACTTTTTATTTCTAAGAAGCATACGTGGAAGTTACAGTGATTGAGAAGTTCTAAAATTTTAGTTAAAAGTTTGACACAGTTGTACACTGTCTCCCATCACTGATGCCAGTATTGCTTACCTAGAACTATGTTTTGAGCACAATGCCCTCGAATGTGCTGCGAGCCATAAATTTTAGCCTAGGTATATTGATATATATATTTATTTTCCTCAGCTGATTTATGGTAATGCCATTGATACATGTGGTAAGATAAGTTTTTAGTAAGCATTAGTCAAGTAATGTGAAATTTGCAAAGTCTCGCAACAAATCCTTATGCTTTACATGTTACAGTGAGTCTGCTTAATATGAATTCACTTTATGCAACATAGGCCAGAAATGCATCTATCTCTTGTAGTGAGAAAGATCTGTACAGTTAAAAGAAAGTAAACTTACCACACAGTGGTTTAAATTTTGTTTATTGTTTTTGGTGATTTTCAACAGATAGTGCTTACAGCAGCCTTAGGTTTTGACTCGTATTTAGTGATACGCCATGGGTACCGATGCAAGGAAACAGAGCTTGAGGAAGGCACCGCTAGCAGTAAACCTTCAGTGAGCAATTCCAGTGCTCTTCGTGGATCTATTCCTGGCAACCTTCTTGGCTGTTACTTCTGCAATGATGTTGTTGCTCCAGGAGATGTAAATGTCTGAAGTATATTGTATCTTCATGTTCTCAGCTCTATTATATAATTGTTACTTTGTACTAAATTTTAATTATGCAAAAGCAGCTTTTACAAAAACTATTGCAGATCTGCTTTTAATATTATTTGCTCTTGAGATGGTAATCTTGTAATGATAGGAGGCCTATTTCTACTTCTGTAGCTCAGTAAGCAATGTTAGCAGGTGCTCTTGGGTATAAATTGTAAAATATAGAGGGTCATTTCACTTTGGATTTGGAGTTTATAATGAGTGTATCTTAGTCTGTGGTTTAAAAGAGTAGGAGCATGTTAGTATGTATGTCTCTGCCCCTCTTTCCCATATCTTTTTTATAAGGCATTAATGAGTTTTAGTTACCGTAAAGCGGGCTTGACAAATGCTGTTTGCCCAAAAGCAAACTAGCTATAGGGCCAACTTTAGTAAAAATTAGTTACCATAGGCTTGCCTGGTTTTGGCAGATATTGGTTGCCATCAAGTTTGCTACAATAGATGTTGGATGCCATCAGATTGATTGGCAACTTTGGTATGTCAACATCTTGTTTGCCCCTGTGGCACTTCTCTTTTCCTTTTGTGGTGTTGGATAGTGTTAAGGTCTGAAGGATACCTTGCTTCTACAGATGTGGGTTGCTTAATATCTATGGTGTTGGGACTGATTGTATGCATTTATATGCATAGCTTGTCCTTGAATCAGCTATCCTTGTTATTTCAGGTGAATGTATTCTCTTTTATATAATATGGCGAGTTACATCACAAGTGTTTAGGACAACTAGCCATCAGTGTTGGGGCAACTGTATTGATGAGGCAACTATGAATGCAAGGTATTTTGAACTGTCTCTGTTGTTCTTGAACTTGCAGACTTCTGCATGTGAAATCTTCATATGCTTACAAACCATACCCCAGCTGGGATTGAACCCGCGGTCAGAGAGTCTCAAAACTCCAGCCCGTCGCGTTAGCCACTAGACCAGCTAGCCACAATAAGACTTCATATGCTTCACAGGCAGTTGCCATTAACATAAGAATGGAGGAATACTGCAGAAGGCCTACTGGCCCATACAAAGCAGGTCCTTATCAAAATAACCTCTACCCAAAGCTACCCAAGAATTTACTCCCACACCAATGACAAATCAAACCCAGCCCCTCCCACTCATATTTGTCCAATCTCTTCTTAAAGCTGCCCAAAGTCCTAGCCTCAATCACCCTACTGGGAAAATTGTTCCACGCATCCACAACTCTGTTAGAAAAGCAGTACTTACTTATTTTTTTTTTTTCAACAAGTTGGCTGTCTCCCACCAACTTAAGTCCATTATTTCTGGTTCTTACCTGGTTCGACACCCTCAGTACTTTATTAATATCTCCTTTGCTTCTGCCCATCATCCACTTATACACTTCATTGATATCTCCCCTCATTCTATGTCTCTCCAGGGAGTGGAGATTTAAGGTTTCAAGTCTATCTTCATGTGGGAGATTCCTTACACAGTAAATCATTTTAGTCATTCTTCTTTGTATATTCTCCAATGAGTCTATATCCATCCTGTAGTAAGGAAACCAAAACTGAGCAGCATAATCTAAATGAGGCCTCACTAGTGATGTATAGAGCTGTAAAATAACTTTTGGACTTCTGTTACTAATACTTCTTGAGATAAATCCAAGTATTCTGTTAGCCCTGTTGCACACACTTAGGCACTGCTGTCTTGGCTTTAGATTTCTGCTTACCATGACTCCCAAATCTTTTTCACATTCTGTATAATCAAACTCTACTTCACCTAGTTTATAGCTTCAAGGGTTATTTTCATTACCAAGAACTAGTACCTTACACTTATCCACATTGAACTTCATCTGCCATTTTTCAGACCAAGACATTAATTTGTCCAAATCCTCCTGGAGTTCATTGCTATCCTCCTCATTGTCAAACTTTTACTCAGTATTCACTCATCTCTCACTGTTGCTCCACATTAACAAGCAGCAAGCTGTTTTCTATAAAGCTACTCAGTGACTTTTGCCTGAAATTAAAACATCGCTCATGATTACGTATTGGACATAAACACACCAGTGGTCATCTCATGGAACAGTATCAACTTCTGCTATGTGAGGCTTGACAGATCATACAGGAATAACCATCCAGCACTTCTTGTTAGATGTCTTATGTATCTTAAAGAATTTTTTTTTTTTTTTTTTTTTAACAAGTCGGCCGTCTCCCACCGAGGCAGGGTGACCCAAAAAAAAAGAAAGAAAATCCCCAAAAAGAAAATACTTTCATCATCATTCAACACTTTCACCACACTCACACATTATCACTGCTTTTGCAGAGGTGCTCAGAATACAACAGTTTAGAAGCATATACGTATAGAGATACACAACATATCCCTCCAAACTGCCAATATCCCAAACCCCTCCTTTAAAGTGCAGGCATTGTACTTCCCATTTCCAGGACTCAAGTCCGACTATATGAAAATAACCGGTTTCCCTGAATCCCTTCACTAAATATTACCCTGCTCACACTCCAACAGATCGTCAGGTCCCAAGTATCATTCGTCTCCATTCACTCCTATCTAACACGCTCATGCATGCTTGCTGGAAGTCCAAGCCCCTAACCCACAAAACTCCTTTACCCCCTCTTTCCAACCCTTTCGAGGACGACCCCTACCCCTCTTTCCTTCCCCTATAGATTTATATGCTTTCCATGTCATTCTACTTTGATCCATTCTCTCTAAATGACCAAACCACCTCAACAACCCCTCTTCTGCCCTCTGACTAATGCTTTTATTAACTCCACACCTTCTCCTAATTTCCACACTCCGAATTTTCTGCATAATATTTACACCACACATTGCCCTTAGACAGGACATCTCCACTGCCTCCAACCGTCTCCTCGCTGCTGCATTTACCACCCAAGCTTCACATCCATATAAGAGTGTTGGTACTACTATACTTTCATACATTCCCTTCTTTGCCTCCATAGATAACGTTTTTTGACTCCACATATACCTCAACGCACCACTCACCTTTTTTCCCTCATCAATTCTATGATTAACCTCATCCTTCATAAATCCATCCGCCGACACGTCAACTCCCAAGTATCTGAAAACATTCACTTCTTAAAGAATATTGGCTTTATTTCCAGCTTCATTTTGTGCCTTTCTATGCTCACTATTGGCCCTTACTGAAGGAGTAATGTGAATGTGGTCTTCAACTTGTCATGGACAGCTGTGTTACATTATGTTAAATTTCTTCATCCTACTCTCATCCTTCCCTGACCACTGATTGCTCTTTGAGTCTTATACATGCCACTCTTGTCTTCTAATGTGCATTTTCCTCTGCTTTGTAGTGATGAATATTTTCCATGAGTTTAGTATTGTTTGTTAATACTCTACTATATTATTTGTATTGTTTCTTGAAAGCTTGATGACACCACTTTGCTTTTATTATATTTTTCTCCACATTAGGTATGCATATTATCCAATTATCATTATAAATCATAGATGTTTCTCTCTTCTTTCTGAGATACAGTACATTTTGTTGTTTACAGTCATCCCCTAATGGAGACTACCTGTAAAGAATTATGGCAGTGAAGTTAAATTACTATTCATGAATATTGTTTGCTTTCATGTAACATAGCAAGACAAAAATATGTGGATAAAATTTGCTTCTCTAATACTTTTTGATAACAGTACAGTACTTTAATTCAGTATTAGCCTGGTGAGGGGCTCTTTATATAAGGAATAGAGCCTGTGCTCCAGTTCTTTGAATCGAGCCTGAATGCTTTCCATTTACCCTGTATGACCCCTATGGATTTAGCACTCCCTTCAGGATTATAATAATAATAATAATAATAATAATAATAATAAATACAGTATTAAACAGTAGTAGCAATTATTTTCCAATTATTTTTTAATTAGAAATATAGATCGCCAGACGAAAATTACTGTCAATGTTTGAAGGATTCTTTAAGCTTGGCAAGAATAGCATTAATTTACGATTTTTTCTAGTCCACCCGTGATCGTACACTAGACCAGCAGTGTACAGTTACTCGTCCAGGCATCTCCTACTTGGCAGCTGCTCATGTTACAGAATTGATGGTTTCAATTCTCCAGCATCCAGACAGGTGTGTCTAAACACTTATACGCTTTCATTTTAAGATGTTAATTCTCTATCCATTGTTTTATAAGTCCTCAATATACTTCCCTAAGTAATACCACTGTAAGATATGCTGGCAGCATTCCAAGAGACTTTGGCTCATGAGAGTTGGCTGCCTTGATTGAGAATTTATAAAAGTTTGGTTGAACCCTTTTAAGCATGAAATTATAAATGTTCGGTGAATTAAATCAAGTACATACTGTAGATTCAGTCTTCTCTTTGTTGCAGCATTCCAAGACCATGCCTCACATCCATACACAAAGGTTGGCACTGCTATGCTTTGATGCATTCCCATTTATACATTCAATTATAGACTTCTTTTCACATATACTTCAACATTCCATCTTTCTTTCAAACACATCGGCCGTATCCCACCGAGGCAGGGTGGCCCAAAAGGAAAAACGAAAGTTTCTCCTTTTACATTTAGTAATGTATACAGGAGAAGGGGTTACTAGCCCCTTGCTCCCGGCATTTTAGTTGCCTCTTACAACACGCATGGCTTACGGAGGAAGAATTCTGTTCCACTTCCCCATGGAGATAAGAGGAAATAAACAAGAAGAAGAACTAGAAAGAAAATAGAAGAAAACCCAGAGGGGTGTGTGTATATATATGCTTGTACATGTATGTACAGTGTGACCTAAGTGTAAGTAGAAGTAGCAAGACATACCTGAAATCTTGCATGTTTATGAGACAGACAAAAGACACCAGCAATCCTACCATCATGTAAAACAATTACAGGCTTTCGTTTTACACTCACTTGGCAGGACGGTAGTACCTCCCTGGGCAGTTGCTGTCTACCAACCTACTACCTAGGAAATTTATTTATGTTAATCTCCAAGGTTTATTACCTGGACCTCAGCAGTGAGAGTGGCTACTCTCACCGCTGGGCAATGGCGACCAGTGTACTGGTTCGCCGTTGCCCAGCGGTGAGAGTAGCAACTCTCATTGCTGAGGTCCAGGTAATAAACCCTGGGCATTAACATAAAAAAAAAAATTCCATCTAATGTACCTTTTTTCCTTATATATAAATCTAAAGACTTAATCACTTCCAAATACTGTACCTAAATACATCCACTTCATCCCTCCAGTTTTTCATGAGGGCAGAAATAATTAACAATTAAACTGATACAATAATCACCTGTTATAAAAAATGATTGCTTCCAGCAAATGTAGCAAGAATGTCATACAGTATACTATATTATTTTCAGAGGACTTGCTGAAGCACGTTTGAATGATAAGGCTGATGTAAAAGAAGGGGTATTAGGTCCAGTTCCTCACTCCATACGAGGATTTCTTGGACGACATCAGCTTTTAACTCCTGCTTCCACAGCATTTCAGCAGTGTTCTGGTTGCTGTGATAAGGTAATAGATTTTTTTTAACACATCGCCCATCTCCCACCGAGGCAGGGTGTCCCAAAAAAGAAAGAAACACTTTCACGATCATTCACACATAATAGATAATAGATCATTAAATTAAAATCCAAAAGTGTTTTCATGAGTATTAGCTTATAAGATGGAAAGAAAGAAGGGAGGGAAAGTAGGAATCATCCAAGGAAGGGGTTGAAAAGAGGAAGGTAAAAGAGGTTTTGAGTTCTAGGGTCTTGAGCATCCAAGTATCAAGAGTATTAAATGGGGCCCTCCTGTATGCAATTGAACAGTTAACACAGAGTTAGATCCCAAAATATTCTAGACAATATACAGGGCTTGTAGAAGGATCACCATCACTCAGTAACCATTTGCAACCTTGCAAATTTCATTTCGTCCCACATGTGAATTTGAAAATTTTAGACTAGTCCACCATTTTCTTTAAGCTCTGTGCACTCAGCTAAGAGAAATCAGCATCTCAGGTGCTGCACTGCAGTCCTTACTCTTCTGTGGACTTTAGGCACTTGTAATTCATGTCGAAGGATAAAACATACACTGCCCTCTGTAGGTTTTACCAGTCTTTTTTTTTTTTCTTTTTTAAGAAAGGGCTTATCTCATGTGGGTACATTGTTTTTAATTTCATTGTTAAAAGAAAAGAAATTTAAATATTATTATTAATTTATTTATTTTATTAACACATTGGCTGTTTCCTACCAAGGCAGGGTGGCCCGAAAAAGAAAAACTCCCATCGTCATTCACTCCATCACTGTCTTGCCAGAGGCATGTTTACACTATAGTTATAAAACTGCAACATTAACACCCCTCCTTCAGAGTACAGGCACTGCACTTCCCATCTCCAGGACTCAAGTCCGGCTTGCCAGTTTCCCTGAATCCCTTCATAAATGTTACCTTGCTCACATTCCAACAGCACATCAAGTTTTGTTGGAGTGTGAGTAAGGTATTCAAAATATTATTGTCTAGTAATGCTTCACCTATTATAACATAAATGTTAATCGAAAATGGAGTTCGGCTAATATAAAAAAAATTTAAAGACTAATTTCTAAGAGAATGCATCCTGTTCATTCTACAGGAAATTACTGTAATTATTGAAACATTGTGAACCCAGTCCATAAGAGGAGAATTCCTGCATTTTTCTTTTTTTACACAGGGTTTGACAAGGTTAGGTTAAGGATCCCTAGCTTTATTGACAAGCTATTTACAGGTTAAGGATTCCTAACTTTATTGGCAAGCTAAGAGCTGTTACCTACATCAGCTCATTTGAAAGCATTTTTATTGATGAGACATACAAGTAGGGAACAGGATGAAGTTGGAGCCATCTGTGGGCCAGCATTTTCATTTGATCAACTGACTTTATCTCGTTGACATCATTATGCTGTACGAATGTGTTCCATACTCGAGTCATGCTGGGTATATAGGATCTCAGATGGAGTGATGTTCTGGAGAAGGGTACAGCCAGAGTGAAGTTGCTGCTTTCTGCCCGTCTTGTGGCATAAAAGCTTGTTTCGTGCTGTCCTCGAAGTGGATCTCTTTATTCATGTTCATTAATATTCATGAGAAGTAAATTAAGATGCCTGTTATCTTTACATGTGTTGTTATTAATGTGATTTTGGTCTGTTGATCAAGTGCATTAATTTTTTTATGCAGTTATTTGGTGCATGTGATTGGTTCATTTTTTTTAGTGCAAGTCAGGTCAAAAAATGTAGAAAGCTTTTGGAATTGGTATTAAAGGCTTTTCATATACTGTGTGATAATTGGTTTAAAAAAATGATAAGTTGAAGATTGAGGCACTTATGCAACATATGGGAATCTTTATTGAGGAAACGTTTCGCCACACAGTGGCTTCATCAGTTAAATACAAATCAGAAGGGTGTAAGGAGAGGAGTTTGAGGTAATCAGTCCCTCAGCCTGGAGTCGATGTGTTCAGTCCATCAATCTTGTAGAAAGTGCAGCATTGGGCTGTAGACGTGGCTTATATACTGTAGTCAGGTGAGGCAAAGCAGGAGGAGGTGGGGTCATAGTGGTACCATCCACTATTCGAAGTAGGTCTTCGTCCAAAGGTTGGACAAGGTTGAAGAATTCTTTGTATCAAGATCCCATGATGTTGTAGTGTCTGACAGATGTGATTGAAGATTGAGACACTCATGCAACATATGGGAATCTTTATTGAGGAAACATTTCGCCACACAGTGGCTTCATCAGTCCAGTTCAAATCAGAAGGGTGTAAGGAGAGGAGGAGTTTGAGGTAATCAGTCCCTCAGCCTGGAGTCGATGTGTTCAGTCCATCAATTTTGTTGAAAGTGCAGCATAGGGCTGTAGACATGGCTTATATACTGTAGTCAGGTGAGGCGAAGCAGGAGGAGGTGGGGTCATAGTGGTACCATCTACTAGTCGAAGTAGGTCGGCAACATCTTGGGATCTTGATACAAAGAATTCTTCAACCTTGTCCAACCTTTGGACGAAGACCTACTTCAACTAGTGGATGGTACCACTATGGCCCCACCTCCTCCTGCTTCGCCTCACCTGACCACAGTATATAAGCCACGTCTACGGACCTATGCTGCACTTTCTAAAAGATTGATGGACTGAACACATCGACTCCAGGCTGAGGGACTGATTACCTCAAACTCCTCCTCTCCTTACACCCTTCTGATTTGTACTGGACTGATGAAGCCACTGTGTGGCGAAACGTTTCCTCAATAAAGATTTCCATATACATGTATTGCATAAGTGTCTTAATCTTTTCATATACTGTAGTTTTTTTTATAATTTTTAGGGTATAACATAAAATTACAGTACTCATAATGATGTGCTATGTTGAAGTGCTGTATCTAAAAAATAAAATAAGGATACACTTAACCACATCATTAATAATCCAAACACATGCTGCACCATCCATGACTGTTAACTGAGCAGCCACTGCTTTTGGGACAGCACACCATGACCCATACACGTTACTCTCATTACCTCTGACAACTGATATTTGGCAAAGGGTATCTAGGCATGTACACTGTTACATACACTACCTTTTAAATTCCCTTAAGAGAATACACAAAGAAGTTGAGCTAAATTTGTACAGGTATGGAGATTATTCTCATTACTTCACCACAGAGCTGTTAAATTGTGGGCCAAGAAAACAAATTAAATGAATCTTGATCTTTAAGGTTATGGTAGCAGCTAAAGCGGAAGTAATTATTTTGTAATTCCTTAATTCTAGCACAACATTCTCTGTTAAAATTTCTGCCATGCCACATTGTCAGATCTCTTTCTTGTATGAGTATCTTCTCTTTTATTATTTTTGTTACATATTTGAAGGATTAAATTAATATTTCTTCATCCTT